TGTTAATAATAATTAGTCAATATTAACATTTCAAGAAGGTGATAATTAACCAATAAAATTAATGCAACAATTAATTGGTTGAATTATTCACAAAAATTAAATGAAAGTGGATTACACAATGCATAATTATAGAAAATGCTTCATTAACATCAACAGTATGCTCACTATCTAAATGGTGTGCTAAAGTAGAGCTACTAATAGATCCTCTTACTTAACCGCTTGCTTAACCATACAGAATGATATTCAGAAATCTGATAATGAATACGACTAAGTGTATGCTCAATCGGACTAGCTGTACAGGAGCAGCCAAACTAATAGATACACATAGAAGAGGTAGTTTACGCTTATTTCTTGAAATTCAAGTTGGAGTGGTTATCGTCTAATTCATTCTTTTTTCACATTATTGATTCTCTCATCACTTGGAAATTTATTTTTTCTGTATCAGTACTTGTAATTAGTAACTATTCAACATTGCAGAATATGTGAAATTGACATTGGTAAGCTTCTTAACTTCTGTTATGCAATGAACACTGACGTAAAAATCTCTCATAATATGGCTGTGTGAAGTAGTTTTTCAATGCGTAATCTTTCTTTTTTTTCATTTTTTCCTTTCCAAATGAAACATAGGAGGTTTATAGAACCGAGCTTTGAAGTTTCAATAGCTCTGAGATAGGATCGCTAGCCCCACGCTAAACTCTCTCTTCTTTTCCGGGATTACCATCGTGCATTAAGCTAGGAGAGGTTAAAGAGTGCGTCCAACAGGAACCAAACTCCAGATCATGTGAGGCCTAGTAAGCGAGCATTTTACTGTTCAACCACCTAATTTATATCCCTTTACGTTCCCAGTGGAACAGAGGGCTTCAAGCTAGAGCTTTGAAGTTTCGTTGGCAGTGGTTTTGTTTTTACGTGTTGGGGTTGCCAGTCTCATGCCCAACATCCCCTGTTAATCAGTCTTATCACAGTCTCAGCTAGGTAAAGGAGTGCATCGACCGGGGATTTAACCCAGGACCATATGCGTGGTTCCAATGGTTTAATGATCTACGAGCTCACCTTGTAAACGGAAGGTTCCGTTAGGTAGTACTGCTTAGACGAAGCAGCTGTCCAGTACTTTCAGGTTTTTCAATGCTTCTCTAGCCTATGTCAGCTCACGATGAAATCCTGTAAACATATCGCTGAACCACCGAAGCACATGTATAATCCCCTGGTATAATAAAACATGCATTTTGTTTTTTCCTACATATACACTATACCAGGAGTATAGAAATAAAACTTAATTCACACAATAAATCAAATTTGAACTTTCTGCTCGTATCATTATTTATTTTTTTGTAAAAATAATTCAGCCTTACAAAAATGGTCTGAACATACTTTCGAATTTGCTTAAAATTGTGTTCATCGTTCTACAAGGGAATTGTAACAACAACAAATTTTAGCCTTCATTCAGACCATTTCTTCTAGGTATCTATTTAATGCACCTTTATCTTGTTTGTTTTAAAAAAACATTTTATTTTCTTCAGGAGTGCGTCTAATATTTCTTTTTAATGGATTATACAATGTGTTTGTATTGATTTCTGGGTTCCCTTTAAAAAAAAACACAAAAAAACTGCAACAAAAATAGGCCAGCTAGGCTAATAAGGCTAATTTTGTTTTATTATTATTATTTCTGTGTTTCTTCAAACCAAAAAGGCACTTTACGCATATATACATACATAGATGCTGTAGTTAGTTGCACCCAGAGCCACATACACATGCACACTCAGGCACAAACAGCAGGCATTGATTTATCATTTGGTTTTTAATGATTCTTCAAAATAGAACATCTGTTTGCAAAAAATTATCTTCTATGTTTTGTTTTACCCGTGTATATGTTTTGTATATATTGGATATGTATACACACACACGTTCGTCGTGGTCGAAAGAGGGGTAGTGTGGTGGTGGTGGTGTTTGAAACTGTTGAATGGAAGGAAAAAGAGATGTGTGTGCTTTTGAAAATTCCTCTGTTCCTATCGTTTTCTTCTGCTTCTTCTTCTCTGTGTTCTTCGAATAGGGCTATACTTCTAATAATAGTGATAATGTTGTTGTCGTTTGGTTTCTTAATTTCTCGGTGTATGCAATAGCGTCAGTCGTCGTTCTATTGTTCTAGCTAAAATTATTGGTGTTAGTTAGTTATTTTGTTTGTTTGTTTTTTTCCAGTGTATTGGTGTTGTTAGTTGTTGTTAAGTAGGATTAAGCGCACCTGTTTTATGCATTATGACGACAGTATAATAATTTCACGTCGTTTTCGGTTCTTTCTTTTGTTTTATGTGATTTTTCCTTTTTGTGATTATTGTAACTGTAATACTTTAGAGACTGAATTCTGTTAAGGATGTGTCTGTCAATCATGTATTATGTATTTGATTAGGTTTTTTCTAAAAATTTCGAAATTCCGTCTAATATTCCTAATCATGTATGATTACTACAGTGTTAAGTTATTTAAGACTTTTTTTGCTTGAATTTGTCAACATAGTGCTTCTCACAAGTTAGGCTATTTTGATACACTTTTGCCTGTGGTGTTTAGCATTCTCTACAGTCAATCAATTAAGTTGTGCAGCTATATCGATTGAGATAGCTAGGACACGTGTAACACATACCGAGTTATTGCATTCTTCCACGGGCTACGTTAGCTGACATAAGATAAGATTTGAAAAGAGTTACGGGGTGGTCAAATCAATACCTGACATCAATCTATGAAGTCTTTCACAGCTAAGTTTGAGCCAGTCATGTAGGGAAGTGTAGACTGTCTGGATTGGGGTCCTTGGGAAACAAGATGTTTTTAAGTGAAATAAATAACTTGTTAAAATGTTATGTTGTGAATTGAAATGCATTTTAACATTATTTATTATTCTCTGATTTGACTGGTAATAATGTCTTCCATATCTCCGGTATTTGCGTCGAGTCACTTCTGTTGCATGTGTTGGGTGTAGATTCACTTGATGAACCAGGCAGGATTCAGTAATCATTTTCTCTTTCTCCACCTACCTATATTACTCTTTAAAATTTTAACTCTGTCCCACCCTCTTGTGTGGTTGTGTATGTAATGCATTCAGTGCGATTGCTGAGTTTTTTTTTCTAAATTACTTATCTTGATCTTACTTGGTCTTAAAAATGCCATCATTACTAGGCTTGGTGATATTATCAGCAGTAATTTCAGTAATAGGATTGTTTTTATGTGTTTTCCTACTAAGGTTAACTGTGACTGAATCTTTCATTCTGCAGAACTCTTACCTTTATACGACATGGTTTCCTCTATTCCATACATCCTAATTTCCTCTTGGTTACTACAGTTTGACTATATTTCTGTTTACAATTATCATTTTACCTAAAGACATTTTATTTCCTTTACGACATCATAAGTAGTGTGCTAGCAAATGATGCAAACATAAAAGAGAAACAGTAGTGCATATGATTGCGAATTTAACAATGAGTGGTGGAAGTGACTTTAGCTACAGGAATTTCAGTAGTTCGTGTAATTTACGACTAGAAGCCGTATGTATGACTTTTGATTGCGAAGTTTTACAGTCATCTTCACTCACTTATTCAGTGGTTTGGAGGATTTCATCATGATCAAACATCAATTAGAGAACCTTTGGAAAACCTGAGAGTACTGGACAGCCGGCCGTATCGTCCTAGCTTGGGGCTCTTCAGAAGTACGCACCCGCCCTGCGGAGTTCGAACCCAGGATCTTCTGGTTACAAGGCGAGCGAGCTCGTAAACCATTAAGTCACTGGGACCTGATTCAATGGCCAGTGGATGAATTCTAACTTCTGCCATTTCATGACATATCGCCATCACTTCTCAATGTCTTCTTCGATGAGTTACTGCCCCACCTTCAACCTTTAGTTGTATCAACAGATCGGTTGTTTTGTTTTGTGAATAGTAGCTTAATCTTCGAATCGTAGCCTTTAATACTTTTTTTCAATACTATTAATAATTTCCATTGTATTATTAAGAACTCACTTTACCAAGCTGTACAATCGTATATATATTGAAAGAAACCATGTCATGTGGGGAAATTCAAACAGGTGTGAATACTTAAAATAACAATAGTATGAAGTGCAATTAAAGTGTTTGTTATTATAATCATAGTTAAATATCAAATATCAAGTGACAAAACAAATAATGTCATATATAGAATAATCATCAAGCGTTGGTGTGCAAGGATTTGATTGGTTAAAGGTTTGTTTGATCATGAGTTGAAATCAGTTAGAGAACCACTGGAAAACCTAGGAGTACTGGGCAGCTGTTTCGTCGCAGTTTGGGAATCCTCATCAGTATGCAGCAACTTGAGTTCCTACTAAAGACCTTCCGATTACAAATCGAGCTCGTAGACCATTAAGCCACTGAAACCTTATCCAATGGCCCGTGAATCCTGACTTCTGCCAATTTGTGAGTAACTGATCTCCTAAGTGACTTGGTAGCCCCGCAGGTTGCGAATAGTTCATTTTTTTTATTCCTTCACATTCCCAGTGGAACATAGGGCTTCAAGCTAGAGGCTTGAAGTTTCTGTAACAGTATTTATTTTTACAGGATGGGGTTGCTAGCCTCATGCCCAACCTTTCCTCATCACCAGCTCTATTTCTGGCTTAGTGAGGTAAAGGAGTGCGCCGGCCGGGGATCGAACCCCGAACCATAGGCATGGTCGGCGAGCGTCCTAACCACTATACCACCGACGCGAATAGTTCATAGGATGTATAAATGTTGGAAGTGAGTGTATAATTATTTCTGATTTAGGATGGCAAGTGGGCAAGTGAAATAATACCGGAAACAGTTCAAAGTGAGAATAGTAACAGTAACATTAATCGTGATAATGTAGGAATGAATTCAATAGTTGACCTCAATCTAATACATTTCCCACCATATATAAATTATAATCCTTTATATTTTAAAGTATTCATCTCTATGTGAATACTTACATTGCTAGTAATACTACTTTCTATATTTTGGTTTATTTATTTTTCTAGCAATCAGATCTAAGTAAATATATTGAAAATCATCCACGTGGAATTAAACTACATAATGTTCGAGTAAGTTTACTTCATTGTTGTTCAATTTTCCTATTGTTCTTTTTTTCAGTATACTGGAAGTGTACTTTTCGCGTTGCATTTCTCAAGCATTTGTAACTGCCTCATTAGTTAACGCTTTTGACTTTCAATAAGTAGTCTACGAGTTCGAATCTCACTTATGAAGATATATGATGTGAAAGTGTGTTGTGGTACTATTTGTGGTGCGGGTTTCTGACAGGACTTCATAAGTAGTGTATCCTTCAGCATTGGTATTTAGCTGTGAAGCGGCGAAATGAAACATCGGAGTGAATGAAAAATAGTCGAAAGAAGTACAATATGAAGAACATATGAAATGGAAATTTCAATGTTAGATTTCTGTATTTCGCCGTAGCCGTACTTCACTTTGACTAATATACATTTCTGCTGTTACACTGTCAGTTCTCATACTGTAGGAGTTACTCATTCTAAAATGAATAAACTTGCAAATTATTGTTGAGTAACATTCACTACCGATCACGCTACTTCTGCCTCTACAAACATCTTTTATTATTGTCCGTTTTATACAATCAGTTCTCTTACGTCTGGTATTTTCTAGGTTTTTTCATGGTAGACCCCTCCTTCAATACTTTTGTTATTTTTATATAAGTAATCTAGATAGTTGGAATGTCCTGCATAGTAGAAATCTCAATTACATAGTATAGTCTGTGTTTCGTTTGTGTCCTCAGCTTTAGCAATGGAGTTTTAATAATCGCCTGTGCATTGGACCATGTCATCTAGGTTTCTCTTCAACTTTGGACACTCACTATCGATCTGTCTGACTACATATATATATATATATATATGTTAGGTCTGGTCCTGTTGCTTTTTAGCCCTTCAGTATACAAGACTTCCGATTTTGTTGGCGGTCTAATGACATAAACTAGAAGATCTAAGGGTGGGGACCGACAAGTTGGTAAATGAGACACCGAAGATAGGACTTGAAATGAACAAAGTAAAGACAGAGGATCTTCAACACGAATGTTAAGTCAGTTCTTCTATGCGGTTCAGAGACTTAGTGAGCGCGTCACGTATAGCATTTCCAACAGACTAAAGACTTTCATCAAAAGCTGCTTTTGCTGCATACTGAGGATCAGATGACAAGAAGAGAAAAGCAACATGGCAGTCCGGCAACGAATCAACCAAGAACCTGTTGCCCATCAAATATACAGAAGGTATAGAGATTGATTGGACACACACCGAGGGCACTGTTGAGTGACATCACGCTCTAGACAGTTAAGTGGAGCCCGAATGGGGAACGATGAGTAAGGCGTCCAAGTGTAACATTGAGAAGATCGTATGGGGAGGATATGTGAGATCTTATGGTCAATTGTGGAGACAGCTAAAGAGGAGTGCAGAGAACAGAAAGGAGAGGTGATGTTCTGGTGAAGCACTATGTTCCAGTAGCAACCCGAAACAATAATAATAGTTGTTGAATATTGTACTTTTCGAAGAGGACAGCAAATGTTATGAACTTAATTTGGTTATATTACTTTATTACGTTTCTTTGCGGTAATGTTCCAGTGTACTAATTTATAATTTTTGGTCTTTTCGAATACAGTGTTTGATATACATGTTATTTTTAATTTTTAGCTTTTTCTTTATCAACTATTACGTGGTTTGGCCTATTGTCATGATCGTCATATACTTCATAGAGACTTAAAACCTCAAAATTTGCTTATATCCGCTCAAGGTGAATTAAAGCTAGCTGATTTTGGGTTAGCTAGAGCTAAATCTGTACCAAGTCGTACTTATAGTCATGAAGTTGTTACACTTTGGTATCGTCCACCAGATGTCCTTCTTGGTTCGACATGCTATACTGCCTCCCTGGATATATGGTAAGTTCTGTTAACACATTTCTTGAACTTTGATGGAATGCAACAGGATACTATCACACATGGATTTCAAAGTAGTTCCAGTCAGGTATATCGTAATACTTTTTCTGTGTTATTATGAAGTGTAACAACGTAAACTGATGCAATTCTGGACAGGTTTCTTCACTGTTTTGCCTATCTGTCGGTAGTATTTTGTTGACATCAACCTATGTTGGTCGAATGAGAATCGCGTTCGCCTCAACGTACAACTCTTCATGGTGGATTTATTCTCAGCTAATCAGTTTTCGTCGGTTGAACTATACCCTTCTTGTTCAGTTTCGCTATGTCACTGTTCCTGATCTCAGGCGTGTTTACATACTTCATCACTTCGGATCTTTCGTTTATCATATTCTTGTAAAAACATTCAACCGCATGCTGCACTATGACATCACTTTTATAGTATAATACTTCTGAAACTCACCACTATATAATGGTTCACTCATATATTTACAGTTTCAAAGAAGAATTAAACTGAGGCAACATTCATTATTCTTGAATGAGTCTGTCTTTGTTATTTCCATATTGTAAAACAGAGAACAATCAAAATCTGTGATCGGATCTAATGTGGATGGTGGTTTTCATGAATATCTAGCTATAGACAACTGTTTAAAAGAAATTTAAATGACACTGATATGCAAATCTTTATTATAAAATACTTGCATTGACTGCGCATCTACATATGTTACTTTCCTGTATCTTTTTTAGGGGTGTTGGTTGTATTTTTACCGAAATGATATCAGGAGTTGCAACATTTCCTGGATCAAAAGACTCAGTGGATCAACTTGATAAAATTTTTCGGGTATGTTTTCAATTCTACTGCTGCATATACAGCCTATACCCTTAGTCTCACTTTTTACCTTGTAAATTAAATAGGAATCTGGTCTTGTGACTTAAGCTTGTTGATAAATTTAGTGCTTATTTTGTTGCCCCCCCCCCCCCACACAGATTGGTAGCTAATACCTTAACTTGACAGTCGGGCTTTCATATCGTATCGATATGGTATGGTTATGCTATCTGGATTAAATGTTCCTGTCCCGGCAGGTTGGGTGGATGGATAGTGGTTTTACTGAAAGCAGTTATCATCATGGAATAAGTTATATGGACTATAGTAGCAACTTGATGATGATATTGTTCTACTGGTAGATAGGAGTGTATCGCCATGAAGTGTTTTCCTCATGTGACAAGCAAGCCAGGTGCGCTTTTGAGCGAAGTGAACTTTAACAGAGTAGCCAGTCGGAAAGTACCAAACACCCACATTTTTGTCATTACACAAATAACATCTGTTCATCACTTACCCTGCTCATTTTCCGCATAAATTCGAAATTTATATCCCTTCACTGCTGATACTGTCCTTCTGCATATTCTCCTATCTTTGGTTGTTACAATCGACATATTCTGGAGCAACATCCTTTCTAATCCTTAAATAACATGACGGACTTCATACTGAAGCTTTCAGCATCCAATCCATATGCCATATTTTGGCCTTCAGATGTTTGTTGGTTCCACTTCAGACAGTTGTGCAGCATGCCATATATTTACCCTTATTTACTATAACCTTTATAATATTAAGTTGCTGGTAGCTTTCAGATGTCATCTTCTTTGGTTAGTTACTCTATGTTTAATTGTCCTCTTCATCACAACTATGGTGGTATACTGTAATGACAGTGAGTTTCACTTCGATTATTCTGTGTTCTTTTTTTGAAGTATGGTATCTTGAACTGATGATTTTCTTTGCATTGTTCTTTGTTTCTTTGTCAATCTGTCTATTTTGTTGAGAAGTCATTCAGACAGTTTAGACGGAGAAAAGACTGAATATTTACCAACTCATACTCTTCTTTATATTTCATTGTATGTATATTTCTGTTTTTTACCCATTTGAGTGTGTGCAGTTTTCTATGCTGGCTTTGCAGTCTAGATACCGTAGTTGAACACTTGATTAGATGAAATTAAAATCATATTTGAAGTAAGCTAACTGAACTGTCAGTCTCTCGTGGATACTCTTGATTATATGTTTTCAATTATAATCAAGACTCAATTCACTTAATATTTTAGAACATTACCGCAACAATATGGTTGAACAGGGAAAACGTTTTTTATTATTATTCCCTTCAATTTTGAGTGTAACATACGGCTACAGCAACACATCTCCACTTTGTTCTATTCTCTGCTATCCTCTTCAGCTGCATCCACGATTCCCCATAACCTCTCATCTGCTCCATGTCACCCTTGCACCGATTACCCACTTGTCGCTTCCCATTGGGATTCCACTCGAGCTATAGCTTGCATTGCGCGCGATGTCATTTGATGGCCTCCTCAAAGTAGGTCAGATCCATCTCCATTTACTTCTGCACATATGTTGAACAATCGGTTCTTGGTTGGTTTGTTCAAAGCCAGAGTTTCATGTTACTAATTCTTTCTGGCCTGCCATTTGATCTTCAGTATGGAGCCAGCCAGTAAAGGTGGTAGCTTTTGATAAAAGTCTGTAGCTTGTTGGAAATGCTTTTCGTGACACATTGGCCAAGTTTCTCAACCTATTGAAAAACTGATTGACTTCACATTTGTGTTGAAAATCCGTGCCTTGTACTGACTGAGTGCAGAAAATTTCGAAACTGGTTTCAAGTTGATGAAAGCCATATCTTGCCTTTCCGATTCTGCCTTTGTTAGCTACTTTTAGTGAACAGTAGCTCGTTTAATGGATCGTTGGTTTCAGCTGAGTGTCTTAGCCTTCTATTTTTTTCATCTGATTAGTCTTGTATTTCAACTGTGAGTAGTAACAGAGCAATGTCACGTAGTTCAGTAACCACGCGACATACATGATTCATAAATTCCGGTGGATACATCAGGCAGTAGATAACTGCATCAGTTATCACTCGGTAATAGTTTAAATGTTCATAATCAAGTTTTATAGGTGGGGACAGTTGTAACCTAACCTTCTGTAGTAAAAATGACTTCGGCTCCAGCATTGAGGGTAAAAGGTTCAAGTAGTAGAGGGAGCTTGAATTTCCCCAAGATATTTGGTAGGACTATTGGTAAGTTTTAACAGGCACGAAAATTAAATCTAAAGTTTCCTGCTTTCTATTTGCAGGGTAAAACAAGAATACAATGGAATAGATTAGGGTTTTTTCGCTGTAATTTCGAAATATTAAAGATATGCAGCTCAGGTGGATGATTTTGATGTATTTGCTTTTTATGAGCTAGGTGGTGTAATTGCGAAGTCTTCATTTTCCTTTTAAACAACAATCTTCAACGCAAATTTCAATATGAAGTAGACGTATTTGAATATATATCATGTATTATACAATTTTATCTCCTGACAAACCTTTTTTGTGATTGGTTGTCAGTTTGCATCAGTATTGATCGTGTGTCTATTGATTCTGAATTTGACCTTTTTCTCGTGCGACTTATTCTTTATTAGCTGATAAATTTGATTTATGCTAATGTACCTGTTAATCACTGATTCATCCGAGTACCAGAGTTATAACAATTTTCCGGTATTTTTTGGTGTTTCCACCAGTCAAACTGATATCTATAGTTGTCTACATGCATCGGCATTAAAGAATACATGTCGTGTCTCTTGACGGATAGTTTATGTTCTCCAACTCGGAGTCGAAGGGGATATCGTATATGAAGATAAACAATTGTTTGCTTCATTTACGAAACAAAGGGATATTTTCATTTGGGATTCTTGTGAACGATTCGATAATTTGCTTGTACTAGTCTGCTGTGCGTCGGTGGCATAGCGGTTAGGACGCTCGCCGACCATGCACATGGTCCAGGGTTCGATCCCCAGCCGACGCACTCCTTTACCTCGCTTAGCCAGGAATAATGCTGGTGATGAGGAAAGGTTGGGCATGAGGCTAGCAACCCCATCCTGTAAAATAAACACTGCTGCAGAAACTTCAAGTCACTAGCTTGAAGCCCTATGTTCCACTGGGGAACGTAAAGGAAAAAAAATCTGCTAATTGGCTAAAATCAGTGAGGTAACAAATGTGGTCATAAACTCTGAGATATTTATTAAAATAACGTTTTGCTTACTTTTACTTTCTTCCCTCTTAGGTTATGGGTACACCGAGTGAAGAAACATGGCCTGGTGTTTCTAAACTACCTAAATACAGAAGTTTATTAGGCGATATCAATGTTAATTTACCAATGCAAAGAACTAAAAGTATATCAGTAGCATCAAGTAATGATACTAGTGGATGTGAGGAACGACCACGTAAACCTGGTGATAGTGATCAAAAACAACGACGTTTACATTATTATCCTAGTCGACCATTGCATAGAGTTATATCACGGTTAAATCGTGCCCCGCATGCTGAAGCATTAGCTCTACAATTTTTACAACTTCAACCGTCGAAAAGAATTAGCGCTAGAGCTGCTATGCGTAGTGTATACTTTTCAAATCATTTACCTACTGCTCAACTTGCCTGCCTTCCAGATAGTAAGTGATTGTTTTACCTTTTCGCAATTGTTTTTCAGCGCGTGATAAGTAGGTTTGTATAATAACTTAGAAGCATTCAATTTCCTCTCTCAAAAGTACTTATTAAGGAATTTTTTGAAGTGTCTAGAACCTTTAGGCTGCCATTTTTTTCATTTTTTGTATTCAGAGTGGAGCATAGGTCTTCAGTTGTAAAGGTATTGTTTGCACAGGCTTGGGATGTTAGTCTCACATCCAAGTTTCCCTCTTTCTCCTGGTTGACTGTCAGTTAGTAAAGCAAAAACAACGATTTATGCAGAATAAGATGGTACCATCGTTTGTCTAATCGACTTCTCATCAGCTGCTCACATCCTAAACAAATGAATTAAGTCTACTTAACGTACAGAACAATTTTAACTTGCTTGCAAATGTTACATAATGTCATTTTGGGGTGGAGCTGTCTGCAAGCCAAAATTGTCGACAACAAGTTACGTCAATGTTCACGTCCCGAATCAGGGTTATGAGAAAAACAATAATAAAGCTTAACCTTGAGAAAATCACCAGGCAATCACATTGGAGTTAAAGTGTGGAAATATGATTCACAGATATATGACTTTTCGATTTTCTGAGAAACGGTCATAAAGAGATAATAGAATAACCTTCAGCAAGAAAACAACCAATCAGAAGAGGTTGCTTCTTCACTAACACTAAAGCTAATAATAATGCAGATAGAAATCTATAAACACCTCTTGATTTTCTCAATAAATGATTTGTTGCCTGGCCATTGTCTTCTATCGTTACAATTTGACAGGAAGCTCCAAACCTAATAAAAAGCGCTGAGAAATATATATATATAACTAATACACAGAAAGTGTGCGTCGTTGGTACAGTGGTAGAATGCTCGCCGACCACGCATGTGGTCCGGGGTTCGATTCCCGGCCGAAGTACTCCTCTGCTTCGCTAAACCAGGAATAAGGCTGGTAAAGAGGAAAGGTTGGGCATGAGGCTGGCAACCCAATCCTGTAAAATTAAACTCTACTACTACCGAAACTTCAAGCTTCTATCCTGAAATCCTATGTTCTACTGGCAACGTGAAGGAATTATATATATATATATAGAAGGTTAAAGTTCGAACAAGCAATTATTTGGTTAAACTTGAACTTTCTGTGTATAAATGTAATTTCTGATTCCTGTTTATTAATTTTGAAGTCTCCTGTCATATGATATCACGTAACATTTGCAAGTATGTCGGAACTGTTCTGTGGATAAATAAACTTGATTCATTTATTCAGGTTGTATTCAGCTGACGAGAAACCGGTGAAATAAATGATGGTACCACGTTATTGTGTCCAAACTGTTGTTCTTGCTTTACTCAAATTCACAAAGGTAAATAAGTGTACCTGGCACCGGGTTCAGGGTGACCAAGAATGCTTTGACCCTCCGGGTGGAGGCTCACCATTCACCACAGTGGGTTGAAACTCACGACGGACCCTAATCGGGTGCTCTTGGGCGTGTAGCTTTTGTCAGTGGGGAAGCCTCATGGTCCTCCCTTTATAGTGCGTCGGTGGTACAGTGGTTAGGACTCTAGCCGACCATGCTTATGGTCCGGGATTCGATCCTCTGCCGACGCACACCTGATATCAATGGTCGGCCTGCAAAATTTGGGCTACAGATATCACATGCTAAAAATTCCATAGTTGTACTAAAATACTGAGTGGAATCAAGCTGTAATAAAATAAAAATAAGGAAGTAGATAAAGTCTTGTTTAGTAATGCGTCTGACAGAAATTGAACTCAGACGTGTTACATGGTCGCCTATAATACTACCATAGGCTGATCAATAGCCACGTTAATGTTTGAAAAATTAAACTAACCTTTAGCTGTTTGCTGTAGCGAATCTTTCAAATTTTACATTGATTTCAAGTTTCATACGACTATTTGTTAGTGATTTACAACATGTTACTAACAAAACTATCAAGTAAGAGGTTTTGTAGATTCCGTTTCTGAATACGATGATTTCATTGTTTAGCATTACCGAGATTATCAGTGTATCAACACTTGAAACTATGAGTAACCACCGTTCTCTTTTTATTTTATGAGAACAGGTAAAGAGAAATGCCTATAAACTGTGCAGAAGAAACGTATATATGTATATATGACTCTGCTGTTCATAGGAGACACAGTAACTGAATTACTGGCATCAAAACTCCAAAAAAATAATAACTAAGATATTCGTTACTGCAACACCATATTTAAAATTCCCCACTTGCCGTATAATCCCAGTGCAAGTAGAGGATAAGCTATCGAACCTGGCCACTACAATGTGCATTTATAAATTTAACTGTTCGTGTGAACACATAGACAGAACAGCTCGGTACTCCCACCGTCGCCTTCTTGAGCATTGTTCAACGTGGTTAGGTAAAGCAGTCGTAAAGTCTATCAGCAATTCCATATTGACACAACTTATGGATACAGATCACAAGATTGATAAAGAAAATTCCGCCTTTACGGTTTGTGCGCTTTTGTCTGCTAATCTTGCCTGGGGCAATCACCATAAAAAGTTTTCAGCTTAATCTTTGTGTTCAGTAAAAGGTTTTCCAACCCCTTTCCCCTCCCCCATGGCCTTCAACCCCAACTTAGAATAGTTCTCTCAGTGACACTGGATAACTGATATTTCACTATGTGGTTGTAAAGCCTGATGAGAATTTATCGAAAATACTTATTTGCTCACTTAAATAATGTTCTATAATTGAAATTCATCATTTTTATTCATTCAAAGTACCCGTTTAATATATCAGAGTAATAGGCTTAATATAAATCAGTTCATAGTTATTCTTGCTTAACACAAAGTCTACTTTCATTTCAACATTTCTCTTAGTATTGTGTTTCTCTTTCATATGGTATTATTATAGGGTGTGATGCCTATTTGACTGTTTAATAATTATTTCTCTTAAATATGGGCGTTTGTCTACGTTTTTTGACTACTATAACTTGTCAATACATGAATGGATAGTTTCTAAGAAACATTTACACACTACTCCTCACAGCTTAGTTGCATCTTTTCAGTCTTTGTTGTTTGTTTTATGCAGCTTTAATGTTATCTACAAATTAAATGTCGTCTATTGTTTTTTTCAATCTTTAAGTTAATTAAGCATACGCAGAAAGAAAAGAATATGGTGTAAGTTTAAGACGCCATTCTGTCCATTTCATCAGCATATCTATTAACTAGCCTTTGAAATGTTTTTATGTTGTTTAATACTCACTAATTGTTTCTTTTTCCTGTTTTCATATTTTTCCATCATTTTTACACTTAGCTTTATCTATATTTGTCATACCGAACATACGCTTGGTTCCTGAGTCGACTTCACAACCAAGTCCAAACAAAGAATCATCACGTAATTATTATCGACGACATGCAAATGATGAAAATGATCAAATTGATATTCCAATACAACATCAACACGGGGATCCATCAGAAGTTGATGAATTTCATGCTTCAGCTGCTGTTGTCGATAGAAATGAAAGTGTTCATGGCGAATCTCATGGTCGTTGGCATCGTCCAGGTCTTTCAAAATTTGAAAAACAATTAATAGCCGACGAAAGTTTACAGTTACCGTCATCTCCAACCTCTGGAACAAATTCATCTAAAGTTTCATGGTTAGGACTACAGAATATATCTATATCGGATAAAAATCGAAGTAATAGTAGTATGAATTGTAAAACTATGGTGAATGGAAAAGGTAATAGTGGATCTGAAGGTGATAAGAGTGTATCTCAAGATGAGAATCCTACAACGAATCATTTATATGTCTCACGAGCTTATGAGTCAGCAGATGCTGTATTGAATGCTGTTCCTTTCGACAAACCAAATGATGATGGATCTAAATTACCCAATGAAGAATGTGAACCAGTTAAAGTCTTTCCTGCCTGTTTTGATTTACCTAAGAAATCTGATCGTCCAACATCAAAGGTGCCACCCTCTTCCTCCCGGATTCAAATGGAAAATCCTATGTCTCCGAATTCACTGTCTAATTCAGTTTATGATTCACCTGCACGTGCTTCAACTGTTTTCTCTAATCAAACCTCTGATTTCCTCTCTCCTGCCAACCGTCCAACTCTGCATACACTATCAGGTTCTGCATCTCAAGTCTTTCCGCCGTATCTTCATAATGCTCAACAACAACAACAACCTATGCTAACGCCATATCCTGCCTTAACGCCTTTATTTTATTATCCTGATTATTATTACCCAGAGTGGAATAATGTACAAAATTCTGTATACTATCCTCAAATGCCGACACTGGATGAACGTCGTACAGCTGCCGCGGCGGCAGTGGCAGCTGCTGCAGCTGCAGCCGCCGCAGTTACACTCTATCCTGCTGTTGCTCCACACTCAGATACACACTTGCCAGCCAACCTTGTCTCCTCCATGTGTTCACATGATCATGTGCCTCAAGAAATGAGTATGATATCCAGTACAATGGATCCTGGTTCTTTAAATATTAGCAAATGCAGTGATAGTTACAATGAAGAGTCCCTAGGCAAGGAACCGCATTCTAATCGACCAGACGACAAGCCATGTGAAAGCTTTAACTGCAATATGTCGTTACCTGGAACCTCTGACATACAGTTGTCCAACAGACTACCATCTAACTACAGTAGTTATTATATACCATATGGTTTACCCTTGAATTGTTCAAATCCAATGTATATGTGTCCCTGCTTTGGACCTACTAACTGTCTTGGTGCACCGAACTCCGCTATACCAGTTATGCACAACCCTTCAGTTTTTTGGGATCCTAATTCAATTCCTTATATGTTTCATATCCCTCGACATCACAATGTTATGCCGTGTGAAAGAGAACGGTCTCATAGTGCTTCACTAGTTACTCCTTTAAGTGTTGGGTCAGATCAAAAGAAGCATAGTGATAGTCCGAAATCACAAGTACCAAATGCATCCTTCAATCAACCACCTTATCCTTACTCACAGCCACATTTACCGGCTGAGAATAATTCTAAAACTGCCGATTCTTTGAGTACATCAGAATCTCATACTAGCCATGATACAATGGTCAATAGTTCAACAGTTTTCTCAAATTGCTCAAATTTAAATTCGGAATTATCTCAAGCAAACTTTCCATCTCAACTACACTTGCCTCATATGAATGCTGATCAACAAATTTGTAGACCATGTCAAAATGCAATAGGCCTTACACCTTGTCAAGTAAGATTTTTATCAACCTATACGTATAATGTATTTCTATTTATTAAGGAATACAAAAATGAAACTAATGCATACTATTGTTTACTGTTTATCTGAATTTCATTCTTGTCTTCTGTTTGGGTAATTGTAACTCTTAGCTTCTGCTGTGAAATAAATATTCGACTTCCATATCGTTTATTCATTTGTCGCTGAGGATATTCCCAATTTAAAAAGTGATGAAATGGCCATATTTTTAGCCTGCAGGAGGAATTCGATTCCGGGGATCAAGTGGCTCTGTGTGATTGTGAAGACGGTGACGAGAAAAATATTATTCCTGAACTTCTGTAGTCGTCTAATAGCTTATATATATATATATATATATATATATATATATATATATAGTGCCTAGCACGTTTCAAAGTGATCACATAATTTCCAATATGTTCTTTTAAATTCTGAGAGGCTTTTACTCGGCTTTTCCATGTATCTCAATAGCCCAACAAACTACACCGACTGGAACGAATCCTACTATGGCCACATAAGTCATTTAGACAGCAATCCAACTAAAAGCAGATACAGTTATAATGTGAGTCGCTCACCCTACACTGTAGATTTGATGGTGAAGTTGTACTGCTTACAAATAGGGGTGTGACAGTAGTAAGTTGTTTTCCTCGGTCTACCAGTAAGCCAGCTATGCTGCCTCTCCACTCTGTGGAATGGAGAAGTTAGAAGAGGTCAACTTCGAAAAGTGCACATCTCGCCTTACTTCGCGGCGGCTTGTAATGGACAGTTAGGTCTTCATATGGATGCAACTCTAAAAACCATTTCCAACAGACTGTTTGCGACTGATTTCAAGCAGTTGTCCTCTGGGTTCTGAATTCACGCAGCGTTAGTGCTCTTTCTGCTTCAGGTATTCCTAGGACTAATTATCTCTCATGGTGTAAACAGCGAGAAAGGAATAGACTCCTAGACACTTCTATAAGTAATAGTTGTAATGACATCAAGTTCATTATAAATTATTTCAACCATCATAATGTCTATTAATGACAAGGAAATAAAAGTGAAAAAGTCTTTCTTAAGTAGCCCAGGAAATAGTAAAGGGGAGCAATAAACAAAAATATGTAGAATACAAGAACTAACAAATTGTAAAAGTAGAAACTAAGTGATACCAGAGTGTCTTGACTTCCTTTCGTAGCACATTAAATGAAATATCTTTTTAGAAATTAACATGATGTGGGAAGACCAGGAAAAATCACAGGAAAGACGTAATCCAAGATATTTAACATTCAAATTAGTTCCAATTTCAGTGCCATCTGTGATACTAGAATCATAGGAACGAATTAATTCACTAAACTTGTGCTTGTAGTCAGAAAGTGAAATTAACAACCTGACGTTTGGAGCTATTTAGCTTAAGACTATTTGACAAGGACCACTGACTAATTTCTGATAATAAGTTATTCATTTTGGGACAGTCTGCAATTTGTTGCTTCCATACTTCTAGGTGTTGTTATCCATAGGCGAACTAACTTCTAACATTCGAGTGTAACGTATACTGTTGGGAAAGATATTCTGTTACATAACGGTTTCTGGCTGTTTCTTTTTATTATTATTATTTATTATTCCACACCGTATTTTTGGGTACATGTATGGAATTTTCAGCATGTGATATCGGTAGCCCAAATTTTGCAGACCGACCATAGATATCAGGTGTGCGTCGGCAGGAGGTCGAGCCCCGGACCATGTGCATGGTCGGCAGGAATCCTAACCGCTGTGCCACCGACGCACTAAATATCTCTAGCAATTGAGTGATATCCCCCACCCTAATCATAATAATGATAATGATTTAGGAGTAAATCCCATCGAATCAGTTGGGCATACTGTTGTCAGTCGAGTTGAACACCATTTCGCCTTCTGTCTTCCTGAAATTAGTTGATTTCATGAAGTTACCACTTTTCCGTTTACCTTGCAAACAAGTATGGTTCCTTTTTAATTATATATATATGTATATGCGTCAGTGGTTCAGCGGTAGAATGCCCGCCACCTACTAACATGATCCGGGATTCAATCCCCCGCCGATGAACTGGTAAACCTAACTAAGCCCGTAGTAAGGCGAGTAAAGAGAGAAGGTTGGATGTGAGCCAAGCAGCACCATCCCGCAAAAAAATAAGATTCCCACTTCTACCGAAACTTCATATGTATATATATGTATATGTATATATATATATGTATATATATATATATATACATATATATCAAGATGATTTTCCCCAAGGTAGATGTAGGTATTGTCGAATTTGTTTAATTAATTATTGCTTAGATAGTTACCATACCATTACGCATTTTCATAGATTAGTCAGTTTGTTTTTTTGCTCTAAATTTCCCTTCTTCTTCCGTATAGGTTGGTTTCTCTGACCTGCAACAGACATATCTAATGAGACCAAATCTTATTCCTACAATGCCAAATTGTTTTTATCACAATGTAGCTAGTCCATTACGCTTTTTCCCTGATACTAATGCTTACATTCCCCAAAATAATAATTATCATCAAAATACAGGCAATTTGACAAATTCTCGTGATCCTTCCACACGATCTGATCATGTATATAATTCAGGAATGACAATACCTGATCATTTATACCATACTAATGGTAATAATAGTAATAATAATAACACTAACGGAAGTAATTGTGGTGATGCCATTGAAACACCACCGTCAAACCACTTAATATGTACTCCATCCTCTTTCTTAGCTTTCTCTTGTAATCACTATGAATCAAATGAAGCGGAAACAATGAATTCTGAAGAGAAGCTGAATAAGAATAAGAACAGTAAGCCTGTTAATGATAATGAGGATGATAACAATGATAATGATGAAAAGTCTTCTCATATAAAACATACCAACGCTTGGTTTGATAATCACTGTTATCCAATGAATAAATGTTTGTCAACAGTAGTTGGATATCCCAAGTCAAATATGCTCAGTAATATGAATATGAATAATATTGAACAACAAATGCATTATTTACATTTATATGATAAACGAAATACCGACGTGGATGTACGTGTTAATCGAAGTATTAGTTTTACATCACCTGATACTATGCGATTGGATCATTTACCGTTGGTGCAACAACAGCATAGTTTATTCAATAACAGTCTTAATCATAATAATGGCAATAATCAGCATCAGCATCGTTTACCAGCGTATTCACATTATCGTCTGCCTCGATCATATGCTTATTATCCAGCTAGTAATTATTCATCTCTGGCAGCAGCTGCAGCAACACAGAATCCTATACGATTCGGTATGCCTTTCAATAATAATAATAATAGTAACAATAATAACAACAGTAATAATAATACTAATAATCATAGTAATAGTATGAATTATCCATACCGTTATCAATATCCTCACCAGCACCAATATCATAATCATCATCATCATCATTCACATTCACTGCAAGATAATTCTACTGGGAAACTGTCGAATTCATGTGGTTTAGATGAAATCTCACACCAACAGCAGCAGCAACAACAACAAATTAATCATAACAATCCATTGCATTTTTGTCATTCATCAACATCATCTGATATGAATAATACTACTCATAATAATAATAGTAGTAGTAGTAATGATAATAATAACAATAATGATAATGGTAATAATAATAACAGTATTAATTTATTTGATACATACGATCAACGGGCCCAGACAAATGTTTAAATCGTCAGAGTTTAATGTATTTATGCATTTTAACTTTATTGTTATTATTATTATTGGCAATATCGTGCAATATCAGTACTCCCTTCCATCTCTCTGTTCGTCCTTTTAACGTTCACATGAAGTATATTGGCTGATTGTCTATTCGTTTGTTATTCACAATTAGCATTATTTTATCTTGTGTATATACATATACATATGCATATATATTTGTATTATTTTCTTTTCCTTTTTTTAATTCTTAACCTTAATCTCCTTCTTTGTGACACCGGAAATATATGGACAAAATATTCATCTTAACAATCCCATCACATTTATATAAAAATAAATATTTTCCTTTACATCGATCGAGTAATCAGGATCTGCATTTTATACAACGAAAAGCAAATGTGTTTCCCAATAAAAAGAGCAATAGTTACTCATGAGATCGATAACAGGTATTATTATTATAAATTACTTCATGCTTATCTCACTGGAATCTAAACAGTTTCACAATAGGTGTAAAAAACGATAAACAGGAAAATGAAACGAAACAAAACAAAACTGAACATTTTATTCATTGTATTGTTGTACAAATCATACCCTTTTAGTCTGTGTTTTGTTGGGCATTTTTTATTTTCAGAAAAAAACTTTTCCCCAACAACACATTTTTTGTTTTTTTTTTGGCCTTTTGTTTTCTTCTTTCATTACAGAAACTTTTGCATTTTGAAAATAAGAAAAAAAATTTAAACTGCATTCGTTATATCTTATTTAATTATCATTATTTACGAGTATTTATTTGTTTTTTTCTCGTTTGTCTGTTTGTTATATGTATGTTTGTATGTTATTAGCTATTTTTATTTATTTATTTATTTATTTCCGGTTCATTTCCTTTTTTTGTTTCCTTTTTTCCACTTTGAATATCTGAATGCATTTTATCCCATGTATTCTTGTTCCCGAACTGCTCCAACCTTTGTTCCCCATTTTCCACTTCAGTCGTTCAAAGTACCGCCCACCCACCCACCTATACAACATGCCTCCTCCATTGTATTGTTCATTTTGTTTCACCCTCCTATTCTTGTTCTTCCTTTTCCCCCGCTCCTCCTCCTCATCCTTTTTCTTATTTGATTTGTGTACCAGTGTAAATTATTTGCCAGTGAAAGACCTTCCTCTTTTCTTTTCATTTTTTTTTGAGAAATACAACTTAAGCGAATGTCTTTGTTGGTTGTTGGTTCTACTTTTCGACTAATTTGTAGAAAATTCGTTTCTGAATGTCTTTGGTTTTGTGTTTTGAAAGGATTCACTGATGTGGTTTAAACTTTTTGTCTACGCAGAAGTTCACCTTGTCCTCCTTTATGTCTGTGAAACATGGTCATTGAAAGTGGGGAGTATGAAAAGCCTAGCTGGTTGTTTTTGACCACGGATATTTGCGTTCTATCCCTCCTGTCAAGTGGTGTTATATTGGTGAGCAATATTGAAGTCAGGCGTACAGGATAGGTCAATCGATGTGGTTGTGAAGGTGAGTCGGTTGAGATGGCTAGGACACGTGTTAAGCATGACGAGTCTCTTCGTCTTCTTCATTGAGCAATGTTAGCTGTCATTGGGTTGGGTTGGAAAGGAGTTACTGATGGTGAAACGAAAACCTGGCATCAGTTCATGAAGTCTTTGACAGTTGGTTTGAGTAATACGGGGAGTGTATAGAGCTTGGTCGGGAATCAACGGCTGAAGATTATTATTGGTCAGATGGCTGAAAATCTTCCTCAATGGCTGAAATGCATTCACTCTTTCTGATCTGTAATATCCACTAGACCGTCATTTTCTCATGCTGCTATTCTGCCTCCGTACAATTCTGCTTATTGGAGTTTTTCTGAATCTCTTTTCTCTACTTTTGTATGTTATATATAGGGTGTAGTAACTTTAAATGCTGCACTTCTGTTTAAATTTCTATGTTGAAACTCAACTGAAAATGACGCGATATAGTAGGTGGTAACATAAAACTGTTCACTTCTCTTACTCAAATTCCAAGTATCTTATAATTCAACTGAGCGATGATCAAATGACTGAGAAATTATCACAGATGTCTTGGCCATCATTTAATGCTTTAGTGAATTAAATACATTAAATCGGATAAAGAGAGATAATCTATCGTTTATGCGTGTCACTAGACAATTATGTTTTAACTGATGATAACAAGTCTGTCTATGAGTTTTGATACATATCTCTCACCTTGCCTCTCTCTCTCTATAACTCGCGTAGTAGCTTCCCACAGTAGCTAGCAAAAACAATACGTGATAATTTTCAAGTATTGGTTTTGTAGGGATTTTGTTTGATTGAATGGGGGATTCAATCATGAGCTGACATCAGTTAGGGAATCATTGGAAAACCTGCAGGGAGTACTGGACAGCTGTTTCGTCAGCCTAGTTTGGGACTCTTCTCAGTACGCACTCACAATAAGTGGGTCGAACCCAGGACCTTCTGGTTACAAGGCGAGTGAGCTCGTAGACCATTAAGTCACTGGGACCTGATTCAGTGACCAGTGCATGAATTCTAACTTCTGCCAAATCATGCTATAGCGTGACCACTTTGCATTGTCTTCTTCGATGATTTCCTGTCTGACCTTCAACCTGATGTACCCTACTGGTAACAGCTTCCCACTAGAACCCCAGGTAACTGCCTGAATAGTGCCAGTCAACATTGAGCATCAGATCAATTTTCAAGTATTTTTTTTGTAGGGATTTTGTTTGATCGTACTAACTGGGTGCGTGCTGATGAAGAGTCCCAAACTAGGCTGACGAAACAGATGTCCAGTACTCCTCGCAGGTTTTCCAGGGGTTCTCTAACTGATGTCAGCTCATGATGAAATCCTCCATCCAATACATGATAATGATAATCTTTTTTGTTGCTTGAAATCACTGAGGTATCATGTATTCGAATTTCCTCTTATACTTTAACCACGTTACTTCTTCTTGTGCGTGGTGGAAATGTCTCATAATCTGCTGCATTTTCATTATTGATAGGTCTTTGTATAAGGCATACTGTTGATGATGACTGGTAAAGAAGTTATGTTAGATAGTTGGAGGCAATCGGCAGGAAGCCTTACTTGACCTAGGTTTCGTGCTAGTTGGCACTCGTAAACAAGGCGTATCTGCAACCTTGAAGGAACTCATGTCCCGTCTGAGATTCGAACCCACGTCACCCAGTGCCGCAGTCAGAGACGTTGCCAGTGAGCTATTCAGGCTCGCGATTGTCCTCCTGTAGGGCTGTAGTGGGTAGTTTGATTGGACACTAGTAACTAGTGTAATGTGTCTAATCCTATCTTTGGTGCTGACTGAATTCTATCATTCAGGTTTGCAATGTGGCCACCATTCTAAGAAGTTATGTATATGTTAATTAGATTTCACAATACTCCTTGTGATCAAATTGTTGAGTGGAGATGTCTGTCAAAGGCTTAAGTATTCGACTTTCAACCAGTGAGTCTTTGCTTCGAAATGGACCCAACCTTCTTCAATCTGTGCAATTCCTTAATATCATCAACTTTCTGATATGCTCGAATATCACCAGTATGATATATTCCCATTCTAGTATGTATTCTGTTTTCTTAAAAATCTTCTTGAGTCATATAAAAGAAAAAGCGTTCAGCGAAGAGTTACTCTTTCCAACGGTATCATTCTCTAGCCGTACAATCGCATATATATATATGTATATACATGTATATATATATATATATATATATATATAGTAAGTTGTCTTAGCAACAAAAGGAATATTTCCAAAATTGTGTCATTAGTATTTTAAATTTTAGATAACAAACTACGTAATATCAAAAGCGTTATTCAGGTAAAAACCAAAATAAAATTAAATAAGTTGAATGACGTAACATAATTGACGGGATTGAGTGGAATTCAACTGAAATTGAACAAGAGTCAAGTTAACAACAGTGGTAATACGGGGTAGAAATTAAATAGAGATAAGGGAAGAATATATTATAATTAACGAGGATGAATGTCCCACCGATGACATTGGTTGGAGTCGCGCTAAATCACGAACTGGTAGAAGTTAGAATTCATGCACTGGCCATTGAATCGGGTCCCAGTGGCTGAATGGTATACGAGCCTGCCTTGTAACCGGAAGGTCCTGGGTTCGAACCCCAGTGGGTGCGTACTGTAGATGATTCCCAAACTAGGATGAAACAGCTGTCCAGTACTCCAGTGCTGGTTTTCACTGGTTCTCTAAGTGATATCAATCCGTGATCAACTCGTAAAAACAATTAACAAACAAAAATTACGTATCCAGTGTTAGACACATCAGGTCCACTTTAGATTTAATGACTGAACAAACTTCTTTTGTATGCAGAGTTCAGAATTTAACATGTGAATTCTCATTGTATCTGCGGTTTGAAGATGTTTGATTCCTACTCTCTTAGTGAGATTCTCAGGTATTCTGTAGATAACTTTGGAGTTCCTTTATGGATTAGCATGGTGTCCAGATTCAACCAGGTGTTTCGGGATAGAGCTGCGGTGGGATATTTCTTCTCCTTCATAATACCTTGAGAGTAAGTGTTCCATAATACGTTTGAACAGCAAACACTGGGTAAGACCGACATATCTAAATCCACACGAATTCATAGATGCACATTGATGAGGTCAACAGTGATAGCTCATCTTTCAGGTCCATGCGAATCAGTGGTTTCGTAAAGAGATTTAGTCGAAGTTCAGCAGCGAAGAAGGCTTTCTTCAGTGAGCGGGACAGGTGGCTGCTCAGTATTTCTGCTGATGAGTCTCCACTGAATTGTAGATTCAAGTACAGAAGTCTTTTGAGAGCAGAAAATGTTGGCGGCTTTAGTGGTTTAGGCTTTGTAGATTTTGTGATGAATCCTTCTGCGCAGCCATTTTCAAGGAGGATTCTTTTCAGTGTATTCAGCTCCTCTTCCATAGTGTCAGGGCTGAAAATGCTGTGGATTCTGTGTTTTAATGAACGGATCAGGTTTCGTTTTGTATATAGAGGCACCCAACTATAGAAGTTTG